GAAAAGAACCAAACCAAGTCTGCATCGGGACTCAACTGAGCTCATACTAGGTATTTCCTGGCAAAAGTTATTTTTATGTACTTAAAATGAAAATAGTTAAGGTATTCTGATTATATAGTTCCTGCAAATACCTAAACCAAAATAAATCAAAGGTCTGTTTAAATATTACTTTGTACTGCTCAAGCAGTGTTTTCTAAGGAAACACAGAGAATGTATTTGTGTTTGTCCAGAGTCTGGAAAGTCTTTTTTCAAATATCTAATAATAGTCCCAATCTTGTGCTCCCTTGTTCTATTCTGAATCCTCAGAAGTGCTTTTATGTAAAATAAGTCATGCATGACAGCAGTAAAAAGCCCATACATCATATCCACATTTCCTATAAGCCCCATTATGATGATGGTATTATGGAAAGCGGGGCCAAAAATAGCACATAGTACATTTTTAATAGAGCCATCTGAAATGACATAAATCATGTTTTCAGGTGAGCTCATGTCTTATTAAATAAAGGCAGGCTTGTGAAGCCCCCTGTAGCTGACACGTGGGATACATGCAACACCCCAGCAAGTGGGCTGGAAGAGGAGCTTCATTAGACCGGGTGCCAAGAGCGCACAAACAACGGCTGCCAAAGCCCATACTCCCTATATGGCTTTCCTGTTCTCCCATTTGTTACAGCACACTTCATTCTTCAACACAATGTGAGCATTAATATAGCCTGATGAGACACAACTCTTTCACCAACAACAGGTGAAGTGAAAACTGACATTAGTGAACAGTTTGTCCTTGAAGGTGATCACATCAGATAATAACAATGAATCTCTTATGACAACTGTACAGCGCTGGACTTCTGAGTTAGATGTATTTTGAACAAATTCCAACAAACTTACTTTGAATATCCTTTTTGTTTAATGGTAATAAAAACATTAAAATAAATCAATAATAATAAATCAAATACATAGTGTAGGGTATAAACGAAATAGTAAACATGATGTCCCCATGGTTGTTATTCCCTACATTTCCACTAGTCTATATAGTTTGCTGCAGCTCTTCAGTGATCAGCATCCACAGATAATATCCAAGTGATGAACGGGTGTGGTCCATTTTGCTTATATATTACGTAATTTAACGCTGTATTTTAACAAAAGATATCTTTACAATCTGATCTATTGCCCAAATGTGAATGTTCTGCCTGTCCTCTATATATGAAAGTGTAATTGGCCAGATTCCAGCTGAGCCTCACATATCCACTGTATCATGTCAGTTAAACACTCATCATTGATCCTTGCTTGTCACTTTTTCATGTAAATATGAGTGTACTCATAATGCTGATGCCCTCCTCACAGGCCTGCAGCTAATGCTCTATAATGTGCTCACCAGTGGAGATGCACCAGGGGGTGATAAGCATGCAGATACAGACACATGAGGAGAGCCTACACGCCCGCACAGCTCTTCAAACACGGATAAGCCAAACGCACACGTTCTGCCATGCTTACTGGTTCTGATCATAAATCTGCCAGCATTCTATACATTCAATTATTCTCCTGCACAAAAAGCCATCATAAATATGCATGAGTCCAAGTATTTATATGCCCTTGATGTTAAGCCCTGCACGAGCCCATTCCACCAGAGCATGTGTGCACAAGTGTGTTTAATATTCTGTCATTCCCACACTTCCCCATGTGCCGACACTGTTTTAATTGTGTTAAATAAGCATAAGCTCTGTATGCAGCAGGGAGGCTGATTTTTGACAAACAAAAGGTTGGAAAGAACATATGTTAATGGGCTTTGTCTCTGTCTCTGTTGCTAGGCACTGATACTGAGAAGTTTAGTCTCTTTGTGAAGTCATTTGCTATTCAAATACAGACCAACAGGTCTATCAGGATTTTATTGTATTAAATGTAGGCTACAAAGTCAGTCACATTATCTAGATTATAAAAAGGGATGGCCTAAATAATATAATTCAACTACCAACTTCTTCAGACAATGTTATCATAATATCACTATTATTGCTCCTGTTCTGTCTCTATATTTTTCCTTAACTGTTTTACTGCTACTTGTAGACTCTTTAAAAGTTTGTAAACAAATTAATTCTAAAATTTAAGATTAGAAAATTCCTGATTAGTTACAGAATAACATCATAAATAAAAATACCATTATATTTTTTGGAGATAATAACTACAGTGCAACATGTGAGTGCTATCAGAGCAATCAGAAAACATTAGTACAAGTATATTCAATCAGCAGGACTAGTCTGACTTATGTTGTCAACAAAATTGATACACGTTAGCAAACACTACCAAAACTGAAAACTCAAGAAAAAACACAAAATGGATTTAAACAACACATTTTCAGGAGCCTGTGATCAATACAACCATTCATGGTCCTGTGTAGGAGTTAGATTTTCAACAAAAATTGTAAGTAACTGAAAAATTATTCTAGCCATCTTGTGACTGTAATTTTATATATGAGAGACTTGTTCAAGAGCACTTTACTTGTTGTAGGTCCAAGTAAATCAGATCTTTATGGTCAGATTGTGTTAAATAAAATTAAAATTGACGTCTAACTTGAGTAACAGATCTTCAGACAGAGAAGAGCCTACAGTTAGCACCACACCCCAAGAATGTTGATGACATCAGCTTCAAAGTATCAGCAGATTTATAGTACATTTATATATTTATACTAGCTCTAAATCACTTCAAAACTAAACTAGAGAAAACTTGCAGATAGGTCCATACAGGCAGATTAACAGTACAGCGACGCAGATGGTGTGCCGAGACAAGACGCCGGGTAGCATTTCCTTACAAATGATGTTTTATGTGATGATACACCCCCAATAGACAAGCGCTTCCTATCTGCTGGCAATGCCCCCAGCAAAGTCCAAACCTGGCCAGCTGTCACACTGACTAAACAGCATCAAGCTCTGCTAAAGTCATTTCAGCGCAGCTCATCACTCCACTTTATCCACTTATTTTGTTGGTAAAACGCTTAACTTTCAGGGCCCACGCTGGACACCTGGGTTGGAGCGCTCAGGGCTGCTAATCACTTTAAATGGAAGAAGCGGAGTGAATGGGGAACTGTCTGGAAGTAACTCAACAGTGCTATAAATCCAAAACAAAATCTACAATAAACACAAACCCTGGACTGTTCCCTAATTTTCCATGCATTTGAACAATATGTGTCTTGCTCCAGTACAGATATACTGTATAAGCAACTCTTGAAGTCAAAAGAAATCCACTGTGTACAATCTATATCTAATTATAAAGCATTTATTGTTTTATAATCAGGAAGCACTGTCTCTATCAACATGGTGCCAAGGCAAGGCGCCGTCTCAAGAGCTCTGCAGACTGTCTACTCTGGTTGTTTTTAATGGCTCGTGGTGCACTGTGAGCTTTTGCACATGCTTTTCCAATGTGTTTTGTAACTATAAATAGCAAATAAACTAACCTAACCATTAGTATGATAGTTGTTGGGATTGGGGTTGGGATTACTGTGGCGGCTCAGTTCTAGTCTGGTCTCTAAAAGTTGTGAAAAGTGCTTATAAAGTTATCACGGTGAATTATTAAGATGCTTTTAATGCATAAGTTAGATGAGAAATAACCTTGGATCCAGGCAGAGTGTCTTTAGTATTACATTATAACTTTGATCATTATTTTACCTTTTGCGTACTGTAATTGTAATTGCATTTTATTGTAATATTTATCTAAAACAACTTAATAATAACAACAGGTCCACTGACTTCCTGTACAAAACTGCAAAATTGATAACCTTAATTCTTAGTAAAATGCCACCGTAACAAGCTGCAGACTTTTAATTACATGCCGTTTTTGTTTTTTTGCTACTCTTTTATAATTACATGTCAGTACAGAGAAGTGGGCGGAGATAAGGGGTAGGATAAAACAGAAATCTTCTAAACATTCAAGCGCTGAATGCAGGACAATACAGTATTACTGAAACATGCATGAATTTATCAAGTTTGAGCATAAACAAATGATGAAGGGACACTGTTATAAATGTGATTGTGAATGCAAATTCTAAAAAAATAATTTTTCTATTTTACATAATATTTCATTTAAATATTTTATGAATGCAAGGATGATGGTCATTAAGCTCACGGGCAAGATGACTCAGAGGTTCATCTAATGCAAACTCAATTCTTATGAAAATAATGTTCATTTTCTTTTTGCTGCGTGATTGTACTACATTATTTTGCATTAGTTATTTAGTTCATGGCTATTTTTGCATCATAAACACAGCCAAACTAGAACAGGTGTTAATTGAGCTAAACAAACATTTAACATATCGTCTCTCAGCGCCAGCAATGTAGCATTTGGCACGCCATAGCACACACCAGAAATAAATGTGATATGTAAAGTAATAGTACTAACAATATAATGAAGTAATATAGTTTGAACTTGGAACACACAGCAGTGAAAATTGCCAAGAAATGTTATATATGTAAATGAATTTCCACGGAGATTGTTCTTTTAGGTTCTGGAATGGGTAGATGGGTGGTCTAGAGCCAGTAATCCTGTACTGAGGGGCCCTGAGTAACTTTACAGGAAGGGTTCACCATCTGCCTGTCATCATAGAGATGCTATTGCTTTGCTTCTTCCACAAAACGGCATTAAATTCTATTCTCAATGTATTCATTTACAGTTTATTGCTAAAATGATGTTAGTGTGTTCAGTTCTCCACAGATACGACTTGTAACTTGGACTGGTGACTACTCCATGGAGATTTATTAGTATACATTGGATACTATACTTAAGCAGATTTCAGGCAAAACAAGACCACCTCTATTGGACAAGCAGCTCACAGTCCCTCCACCAGAAAGGTTGCATAGACTTTTGTACCTGCCACAGTGTAGTCAAACACATATAAATTATACATTTCTTTTTAGGAATCATCATACTTGAAATTTTTCCTTTAAAAAAAAACAAACACCTAAAACACCCTTATCTGTAATCCATCTTTAAAAACATCTGTAACCATAGTGAGGTCTTACCCTGTAGTAATCGCTGCTGTAGATGTCCCGGGACATGCCAAAGTCTCCGATCTTGACCAAGAGGCCATTGCCCACCAGGCAGTTGCGTGTGGCCAGGTCCCGGTGGACAAAGTGTTGTGATGCCAGGTAGACCATCCCCGAGGCGATCTGTGAGGCAATGTGGAGCATCTGTGACAGGCTCAGCTCCCCATTGGACTGCAGAGGCTGACCGTCCACCAGGATCATAGCATCAGGACCGTGTGCTCTGTCAGAAGAGAATACAAAACACATCAGCACTTGGTTGTGGTAGTTTTAACAAAAGTGTAACAAACAACTCTACAAATGGATCTGGATTAAGTATTCTTTCTTCCTTTCTGATTTGAAGGACCTTTCCAGATTCAAAAATATATTTTTATTTGAATTAAATAATTTTATTAAAACTGTTATTAAATTGGGACTGAATTATGTCACAAATAGAAATATCAATATCATATCAATATTTCATTGATTCATTTATGCTGCAAAACTAAATATTAAATATATATACTAAATATTCGCATTCAGACCTGTTAAAATTTGTAAATGTTGAGACGTCACATTAACCCACCCAGTTGTTTTCTTCATACCAACAAAGTAAAAACAAAGTAAAAGCAAACTTCACTGCAGCATCCTCTACATCAGCCACCCCAGCCTCTCCATTACTAGTGCACTGATCCTGTTTTTTCTTTTAAAGAATCATAATTTCATCACATCTCGGACACCTGCTGAGTTGCAGGTCATCGTAATTCTGCAAGCGTATTCATACAAAAACCTGTTTTCTCAAAACTATTAACTTCTACTGGCATGTTGGTAAATCTCAGTCTAAGTAGGTCTCATATTAAGTCACACAAACCCAAACTAAGTGGAGAGGGGCAGAGCTCTTTGCTGCTTAGCATGTCTGGGTAACAATGAAGAAGCCATTTCTGCAGAGCTGCTCCCTGCTGCTCCCATCACCTCTCCGTCAGTGTGATTACAGGCCTGGCACCACGCTGTTCTCGCTCTCCTCCCTGTCTCTCACTTTTACTGTCATTTCTGCTGTAAGTGCCTGTGTAATAATTGTGCTCCACAAGTCTCCCAACTCCCCAGCCTTTTGTCTATACATCAGCTTGAGTAAGTTCGCACTGTCCTACATGTACAGTTAAACCTGCCTGTCACATCCCCTGTTCATCCCCATTGATTCCCCTGCACTTTTCATCTGTTAAATGTGACCAACAGGACCGGCAGACCAAAAATCAGCCACGTCTTGCACCTTTGGATGAAAGAATTTCATCATTCGCGACATCGCCTTTCATTTCAGGAATGATTTCCCAACAGTAAGTCTTCACGCCCTCTCGAATCTATGCGTGCACACTCCATCGGAACGTGTCATCTTTTCAACTATTGCCCAAACTTGAAAACTTGGGGCGGCCACACGCACTGGTACAGTCACAGTGGGATTGTCGTGCATGAAAGTCTACTAATCCTGACTGCTCCTGTACGTACCGACATCAAGAGGAGTGAAGACGGTCATTACCAAACATGATGTACAAGAGTTGTGTCACTTTGGTGTGGGCACATCTGAGGTCTCCCTGTTCTGTTTGAAATTATGCAAGAAAAGCTGCTACTGTTAAGTACCCAAGGAAATAGAGTGAGGAATAGGAATCACAAAGTTGTAGCATTTCATAATATACAAGATTAATTGAGAACATTACGAGTGAATTGAAAAAAAAACCAAAAAACATCATGATCTTTGGGTCAGAAGACTTACACGGACCAAGACTCAACAAGTGGATGAACACAAAAAGTGACAGATCTCTTTGCTGGTGCCTTTGTCATTTTTGGCCTCCTTGGTGGGTGATAAGTTGATTTAAAACCAAATTGTGATATGACCTTATAACACTCTGTCAATTTGTAGAAATTATTATAATGTGATTCAGTGCCTTTCTCTTGACATATGACATTGACATATTCATTTCATTCCATATCGACCAGCTGACACCCAACAGAAGAATTCTTGCTCAATACAGTTTGGGCCATACCACCTTAACAATGCCTGATCTTATCTGCTTTCAGAAGTTACGTAAGATTGGGCCTGGCTAGTACTTGGATGGGAGAGCTCGGAGAACACCTTACTGTGTTGGTGGAGGTCAAAGACTTGTGGTACAGACTGGCAGCCTCACTTCCAAGGAAGCTGTGGCTACAATAATAACTTGCATGGATTAAAAAGACTCAAACACATCCAGGGTAGAAGATGTTTGATTGGAACAGGAGAAAAAAATAATAATTAAAATAAAACAAAAACAATTCTTTGGTATCTTTGGATTTTTATTTTTGTTTTGTTTGTTTTCTTATTTTTACAAAATTCATCACAATTCAAATCTAAGATGAGTTGTTGGTGCACTGACCTGAGGAACTTGTTGAGGTCTCCATGCTTCATGTACTCAAAGACCATGATGAGCGGGTCTCCATCCACACACACTCCATAGAACTTCACAATGTGGTCATGCTGCAGGTTGGTCAGCAGCTCCGCCTCTCTCTGGAAGTCTTTCCTCGCAGACAAGTTCGGATCCTTCAGCGTCTGGGGAAAAGGAAAATGAGTTATTTTTCAAACAAAGAGACAATAGTGAGGCACATTTCAGGATAATCTGCAGACAAGACAGAAGCATCTATTCAAAGACAAAGAAAACAATGCTTTATCAGTTACTAGAAGTATCCTTGGCACTTTCAAATAGTGTCTGTATGCCGAGAACAAAGCAATGGTTTATTCGTCAGCAGGAGGTAACACATTCACAAAAATAATATCACCAAATTAGAATCTAATGGCTCTTTTATATTTTGGAACAATCAAAAAGAACAATTTTGTCAGCTTTTGAAGACGCTTGTTGCGCTGTTTTATATAATTCTTGCCCCAATTGTGTCTAAGCAGTAGTATGCATTGCTGTATTTGTTGATTTAGCCTGATATGTATAAGAGGACCTGTCTACCAGTCAATAATGAAAAACTGCTTTAAAAAACTACAATAAACTACAACATGCACAATACAATTTCTTGCTGTTACGTTTTTATGACAGTTGTAAACAAAATTTGCTTATGAAAACATATTCCTCATTCATCCAGTGGAAAAGTATCACAGTAATCATTTGGATATTTTTTTAGGGTAGATAAGACCTGCCCTAATGGAGGAGTTATAACCTGAAATTGCTCTGATCATAAACTGAGGACATAGAAGTGAACATGGGTGCCCTTTCGGCTCCATCAACTCTGTTTCCAATTGACTTTACATTGAAAAAATTGTCACGCCTCTGTCTGAAACTGCTGCAATCATTTAAAAATGTTCGTATTAAACCCGCTCTACATGATCCTGGTTTATATTTCCTTATATGGAACTCAGGCGTCACACTCCCCTAGTCCACTTCTTGACTTAGGTAAAATCTTACCCTAGTTTTGGGTTGTTTTGGAGTAGAACCAGCTCCTCAGATTTGTACTTAGTCTTGATTCCATAAACAGAATCCAGATGGTCGGGATGGAAAGCTTTTCTACCACTGCTTATATAAAATCATACATATTTATTTATGGAGACAACAAGACTCAAGGGCTTGTGTTGGGTAGGTTTTCTCTTGTGCGGCCCATTCTCTCATCAGTTTTAAAGGCTAATCTTACAGCTGCACATTGTCACATACTCCAACCTAGATCATTATAGGTCAGAAGAAGCAATCAGTGCTCAGATGTACCGGAACACTTATAATTCTTTGTCTTTTTATAACTGCTATATTTCACTACACTGCACCATTATCTAAAGTGACTATTTCATCTACAATCACTTCTAGAGTACAACAGGTTAAGATCTCGGCTCTATCGCTGCATGTCTGAAATATTCCAGCATGAAAATTGGTTTGAATGTAAAAAAAGCTTTGATGATCAAACAGAAAATGCTGAATAGAGCCCTTTCTGTCACTTGGACACCAGCACTTTTAAATGTACTCTTGCTTTGAAAAATCCTACGTCTCTAGTCTGGTACAGGTACTTCATGTTAATGCACTATCCAGCTCTTTTAGAAATCCGACACAAAGCGATTCATTGAAGCATGTTTTTGTTAAATATTTGGATGGTAAATAGAGTGCTACATGACGTGGCGGCGAGATGAGATACAGTAGCTTGGCTGTTAGCGTGCTTGTGAGTGCAGCATGCTAACGCTCTGATATGATTGGTAAACTGATCATGCCGGGCCCGCTTTGATGTGCAGTACACAGCCCTGTCTCGATAAGCTGTCAATCGGTGCCGCGGGCATCAGACAAAACATGGGCCAAATGAAATCACAGCTAACATGCTCCATGGCACCTCCTATTGAAGAAGAAAAGGGACTGGTGATGACACTGTTAGTGACAAGAAATATAACATCATCTATTCGACCCTGAGCTCTACTTCCTCAACTGACTGATGTTGTTATAGATGAAGGAACCTTGGTATAGAGATGTATTTGCTGCAGGTAGAGGTGGGTAGAAATGCAAGGTAACTTACCCGCATTCTTAAGCTCTGACTAATATGGAATATGGGGGTATAGATGCTTATTAATATTCACTTAAAAGGAGGGTAGTGTATGTCAAATTCTTATAAAGATGACCTATCTATGCCCCAGATAATAGTTAAGCATATTCAAATATTACTTTTACTAATAACTAATAGGGGTGTGTAAAAATATCAAAATATCAATATATCGTATCGTTTAATGTGATGATACAGTATTGATATCGTGGGTGACTGTATCGATATATCGCCAAGAGTATTTTTAGGTATATTTTACTAAATTACTTTTAATTACAGAACTACAGTTTTGCTGCTTGTTCAGAGGAAGGAAACTTGTTTATGCGGCACATCTGACATTTTCACTGTTTTGATGATTCAAATGTTGTGTTTATGAACTTGTTTAATTGTGATCCCATTATATTCATTGTCCATAATGTATTCCATAAGGCCCAGTTGAATTTGAGCAAAGTTTGAAGCAGCTCTTAGGGTCAAAATAAGTCTGCTATGTACTGTCTGCAGTGGCAAGAAGTGATTTAACAAAGACAAAGATTTTTATTGAAATATATTGTATAGAATAAAAAGCACACTGTATCGAGATATGTGTTGTATGGTGGCCTGTGTATCGAGGTATGTATCGTATCGGCAACTTCTTAACGACACCCAGCCCTAATAACTAATATTTGATGTTTTCTTAATTGCAAAAACATTTTATGTGATGCTATTTTTTTTTTTTTTGTCATTTGATATTTTGGTTCTCAAGCCAATAGTTCAATCACAAACCAGTAACTGCATCACCTAATCACCTAATCAGTGCTAGTGCAGGCTCAGCGAGTGAGGCATGGCCCGTCATTATACTGACAATGAGAAAAACTTGCATGTGTCCTTTATATGCAGGTTAAGGCACTGGCAGCCCTTGTCTTGCCTATTCCCATTGCTCATTTCTGAGGGTCGGGGCCATGAACCAGCTTCCTCAACAGACTCCATTGCCTTGCCAAGGTTGTGCATTTCCCAAGAGATGTTTTGGTCCTATCATCTCTCCATCACCTTTTGTCCTCTTGACATCTATACGGGTGCAGAGATTTTGGGCCCTGATGATATGGCCAAAGTACTATAGATTCCTTTGACTCATACAGTTCATATTAGTTGTCATTCTGTCCCTATTTCCTTAAAGACTGACTCATTTGTTCTGTGGGTAGTCTACGGGATCCTCAGGATGTGTCACTGGCAACCCAGGCTCAGCTGATTATACTTTAAAATGAGTGAGAGCAAGGCTACATAACCAGCCTTTAACAGTATAGGGACCTTCCATATATTGTTTAGGCCCTATATGTCATAAAAACGAAGTAAGTAAGTGCACAACTAAAACTTCTATCTAAATCGTATTTTTTTCACTCAGATAAATACAAATGAGTAAATGCAATCTCTTCCAAACCCACTGGCTATCTGTTGTGCCCTGTGACTATACTGGAGGTGTGGGAGATGAACAGCAGAGCAGGTACAGCGGCCATAAAATTCTATTACCAAATCAGAGTGCACTCTTAAGGAAACATCCCCTGTCTGGGCATCTCTCCAAAACAATACCTCCAAGTGCTCTCAGGGCAATAAATTGAGAGGAAAGCGCCGCAATGAATTTTCCTTTTGTTGACCTTTAAGGAGAATTTTAGAAAGCCCCAGCCGCCTAATACTATAACACAGATTGGAACATGTGAAGAAGGCAAACAGCAGGACCCAGTATTGTGTTCTACAATCAGACAGGAACAAGTGCATGGTAAATAGTCATGCTTTTTGGAAAATGAAAGTTATTCTGCGGAAATGAAAGGACAAGGTTAGAGTAGTCTCTTGTAGTGAAAGTTGGAGTGCTTCCTTTACTGGTAAAATGTGCTGATTCGGCAGAGTCGTGTTCAGAGCCCGAGCCAGCTTAAAGGCACGGGCCAGAGCTAGACAGAAGAAATATTACCTCCTGCAGGAAATTGTAAACGCATACCCAATTTGGACGTGTAGGCAGGAGCAGTGGCTTAGAAATGTATCTTATATTGAGGTTCACAGGGCTAGAGAATACGCCAATAGGGAGTTTAGACTGTGACTGCATAAGCTTTGTAATTTAAATATCTTGTTTTCTTTCATATACAACCCTAACCATAGACCCCTCAGCACATATCCAACCAGATGTTCCTATGCATTTTAATGTCATCAAAAACTATTACAATCTGCCATATTCACGCACAAATATATCTCTTTATGTTTTCTCTTTACTACAAATACTAATTAGTATGCCAATGTTAATGGCCAAATTAATCAGAATCAGAATACATTTAATTGCCATTGTCAGTGAACAGAATTCACAAACTACTTGCTTCTGCGATATGAAGCAATTAAAACTGTTAAATGCATGTTTTCTTAAAAGGGTTTGATGTACATTAACAAAACAAATGAGTTTGTCAAATCTTTCATGATTTCCTGATCAAAACATTTTACTGAAATATGTGTAGTACAGTATCAAAAACCTATGGCACATTTAAACTGGCTACTGGCTTAAAAACATCCATCCATCTATTTTCTTCTGCTTATCCGGGGCCAGGTTGCAGGGGCAGCAGTCTAAGCAGGGACACCCAGCCTTCCTCTCCTCTCACATGGAGGAGCAGCGGCTCTACTCCAAGCTCCTCCTGTGTGACTGAGTTCCTCACCCTATCTCTAAGGGAGCGTCCAGCCACCCTGCAGAGGAACCTCAATTTGATCACTTGTATCCACGATCTCATCCTTTTGGTTGTTACCCAGAGCTCATGACCATAGGTGATTGTAGGAAAGTAGACTGATTGATAAATCAAGAGCTTTGCCTTTCGGCTCAGCTCCCTCTTCATCACAATGGTCTGATATAGTGACCGCATCACTGCTGATGCTGCACCAATCCCCCTTTCAATCTTGCTCTCCATCCTCCCTTCACTCGTGAACAAGACCCTGAGATACTTGAACTCCTCCACTTGAGGCAGGGACTCCAGCTGATCTTCATCTTGGCTACTTCCCACTCTGCTGCAAACCGCCCCAGTGCATGCTGAAGGTGCTGGTTCAATGGAGCCATTAGGACAACATCATCTGCGAACAGCAGAGATGAGATCCTGTGTTCCCCAACCCGGACCCCCTCCGACCCCTGACTGCCCCTACAAATTCTGTCCATAAATACAATGAACAGAATCGGTGACAAAGGGCAGTCCTGGCGGAGTCCAACATGCACCAGAAACAGGTATGCCTTACTGCCGGCAATGCAAACACAGCTCCTGCTCCGGTCATACAGGGACCGGACAGCTGTTAGCAAAGAGACCCGGACCCCATTCTTCCTGAGCACCACCCACATGACACCACGATGGACATGGTCGAATGCCTTCTGCAGATCCACAAAGTACATGTGGACTGGTTGGGCAAACTCCCATGAACCCTCGAGCACCTGATGGAGGGTGTAGGGTGTTGGATGAAAACCACAGTGCCCTTCCTGAAGCTGAGGTTTGACTATCGGTCAGCTTCTCATCTCCAGTACCTTGGAATACATCTTACCGGGAAGGCTGAGGAGTGTGACTCCCCTGTAGTTAGAACACACCCTCCAGTCATCCTTCTTAAACAGAGGGATCACCACCCCGGTCTGCCAGTTCAGAGGTACTGTCCCCGAGAGCCACGGGAAGTTGCAGACACTTGTTAGACTGCAGACAGTACATAGCAGACGTATTTTGACCCCAAGAGCTGCTTCTACAATATATCTGTCCTAGGGCAAGACAAATGTTGCTCAACTTCAAATGGGCCATGTGGAATACATTATGGCCAATGAATATAATGGGATCACAATTAAACAATAGCTGACTATCCCTTTAACGTTATAGTTGAAGTCCACTTAAAAGCAACTTGTATCTTTTCCATCCATGCTATTAGGGCATTAGGGCTGTCAGACAAAAGCAGTGGTTTCAAACGCATTAGTGTCAGTGGAAACAACACACTAGGAGGCGATGCTGTTTGTCAAAAGTTAAACCTTAAAAGCTTGTGGCGGTAATTGCAGGCTCTGTGGATGCTGGAGGGACAGGTGTTAAATGGGTAAATAGAAAACTCAAGTAGATCTAATGGCTTCTATTTGAATATGGACCATAAACTTAATTTACATAATGGATAAAATGTCTAAATATAAGTGCATGATAATACATTATGATATGGTGGGGTAGCTGTGATATTAACTGCTAAAACATAACATATATAGATCATTGTGTTACTTTTTATTGTTTCTAAGTCCTCCCTCACTTTTCTCTCTGCGCAAAGTCACCCCCCTTCACAGAACTATCACTACACAATCAGCATGCGTCCTGATAATGAAGCTACCGCACCTCGCACCAGGTTTGTCAAGCTGTTGTGTACAGTTTTGTATCATGTGTTTGTATATTTATGGAGAATTGTCGTGTGGGAGGATGGATGATGTAGGCTTGTGTACAGCTAAAAGTGCAGCTAAAGGAGAGTACGGATAGGGCCTGGGGGGATCACTAAATTACTCAAACATGCATGGATGACATCCTAAATCTCTTTAGGAATTTTTATGATTTATGTAATTTATTTAATATTATGGTTAACATGGTAGAAATCTCAAAAATTAATAATACTCGTTCTTTAAAGCCTTGTAATTTTACTGTGGGGTCATTCCACGCCAAATCTCCGAATGTCGCCGCCCCACCACCTCAGATATGACTGAAAAAATTCTAGGAGGTTCACACACTTTCCAACAGGAAAAGTCCCAAGTTTTAGCTTCAACTCCTTATAGTTTTGTTATTAAAACTATTTTGTCAACTCCCCCCTGACCTGTTTTGAGCAGAGTTTTCCGAGGAGCCACTTTCAGATTGCTGTATCTAAAAAAAATATTTAAGGTAGGTTCTTCAAATTTTCAAGGGTTAACATTTGGCAAATGTATTTGTAAAATATGGATTTTTACACATGTGGTTTTGATTTATCACAGATTTCTGGGGGCTTGAATTTGCTCAAAAATTCTACTCTTCAAATATGAGAGCATCTTTGTGGAAAGTGCAATTTCAAAGACAAAGGTTTGATATTGAACATACACTTTCCCACACATGCTGTGTACTTTGTATTTTAAAACTGACCCTCTGTGATGAACGGTCTAGAAGATATCAAGTGTTAAAAATGAAAAAAAAAAAAAATAATAATAATAATAATAATTTGGTGCCATCTTTACCATGTTATATCAAGAAAATGACAGCACCCAACAACAGAAAGACGTCTGTTTTTAACATGTCCAAAATTTGTGATGTGCATGATTTTACAAGCACATTTGTCAAATTTTAACCCTTTAAAATTTGAAGGACCTACCTTAAATAGTTTTTTTGATACAGCAATCTGAACATGGCTCCTCAGAAAACAATTCAAAACAGGTCAGGCAGTAGTTGACAAAATATTTTTAATGACAAAACTAAAAATTAGGGAGCTAAAATTTGGGACTTCTCCTTTTCCTCCTTTCTTACTTTACTCATATTGGAAAGTATGTGAACCTCCTAGAATTTTTTTCAGTCAAATCTGAGATGGTCGAGTGGGGGCATTCGGAGATGTGGTGTGGAATGACCCTGTGTTAAAAGGTAAAGAAAACAGAACTAAATAATTTAAATGGTTTAGTAGTGGTCCAAAGCTATTCCTTATTTACCTTATGCATTCCAAGCCTCTATGATGTGGTTCTAAGTGTTAAACACAAGTTTCAGAGATCAGTGGAGTAAACAACAACTAGCATGCTAACACATGTTTAAGAAAATAAGTGTGAACTTATTTTTGACCTCAATAGCAGTTTATACAATGTATCTGTACTGAGACAATAGAAGTTTTGCTCAAATACATGTGAAAAAGTTGATAGAGAAGCAAATATAATACATGAATGATTTTAAATGTAGCTGTATTACCAGACTGTATCGAAGAGATTATAGCTGGATTCGTGTTTGCAGTGTTGAATTTCTGTCTCTTATTTGAAAGTTTGCACCTATTAGAACCCCAAAAATTGTATATTTGATAATGAAAGATACAATTGTGTGAAAGCTATCCAGTGCAGTCTATTCTAACAGACAGGTGAAAATGCACAGTATAATTTGTTTCAACAGTACTGCATTGAAAGCAACAGATTCTAAAAGCTTAAATGAAATGACCACTATTATTAAGCAGATGGTGAGAATGGACCTAAATGGTGCAGATTCAATGCAATCAGAGAATAATTTATGCTACATGATTATAATAATTATGGCAATGTGTGCATTATCTATTCTTTTGTAGTACTGCGATACGAGCATTTAATTAATTTGATTTTCAACCATCTATTGCAATTAAAATAAATGCATAAAGAAAATAGCACTGTAAAAATCAATCGTAACGCATTATAATAACTAAACTTTTAATAGCGTGGACTTAAAGAGCCTGTACCCAATTTTGTGTCTTGCCCCAGTACAGGTACATTGTATAATCATCTCTTGAGCTCACAATAAGTCCACTGTTTACTGTCTGCATCTAATTAGAATGTGTTGTATTGTCCAAGAATAAGGATGTGTGCAATTAGTATGCTAGTTTTTGTTAGCTATAATAACTATTGACCAATGCAAACAAATTAAACTGAAATATCCAAATGAGTCTAGTGAAGATTTATGGAGTGGCCATGCGGTTATACAGGAGTGGAGTACTTCCTGTATGATCACATGATCAGTTTGAGAGAATAACTTGGCCTAACTATGCAAGATTTATGTGTTAAACATGAAATAAAACACAACTGCGTACATGTTTCTGATGAGAAAACAACATTATAACAGATCACAAAATAGTGTAATATAGGCCCATTAAAATCTGTTTTTTTATTATATCCCATACGGGCTGATCCCATCAGATCTCAGAAGCTAAGCAAAGCTGAGCCTGGGTAGTACTTGGATGGGAGACCACTGGGAATTCCAGGTGCCACAGTGGGGCACCAGTGACAAAAAAAAACAAAAAAACAGTTGTTGTGTCCTTTGGCAAGACAATACACCCACATTGCCTAGTATGAAAGTCGTTTGTGCGTGAGTAACGGTGGTGGTCGGAGGGCCCGATGGCACAGATCGGCAGCCTTGCTTCCATCAGTCTGCCCCTGCAACAGTAGTAGCTTAACACCACTGAGTGTTGAGTGAATCAATAATGAACTGTAAAGCGCTTTGGGTATCTTCAAAGGCACTATATAAATGTAATGATTAATTCATTCATTATTATTATGAATTAAGGCTTTGTAAATACTTATTAACGAAAACTAATTAAGGTGTTACATTTGGCAATTTTGATGTTCGACCTCCATTAGCTATTAGACCTCCATTAGCTATCAGCTATTTTTCCTGGAGACCTATGTTGCTTTTTTTTTTTTTCAGTGGGGTATTACAAAGTGATATCAAATCAATACAATTTACTATATAATTTTGACTTTCACAGCTATTGCTTTTCAGTAACATGTATCTTAAATGACTACCAGACATATTTAGCACAAGTTCAAACCACATCAAGAACACCATAATAAGCTGACATAATGAACCGTTTTGGGAGCACCCCTGAGTTTTAAAATGGCTATGAGCGCTGGAAGTCCATTGGCATTTGTCCAGTTCCCCATTAACAGCCTGACACTGCCCCAAATTCACTTAGGCTCTAATAATAAATCTGGAATGTAAGGTGCTTGTAAGTGGGTTTATAGCACAGACTAGAGAAACTTACCTTGACGGCCACCAGCATCTTGTCCTTGGTGGGGCAGAGGTTGTAGCATTCCGCCAGAAAGACTTTTCCGAACGCACCCTCTCCCAGCTCCCTCTTCAGAATGATGTCTCTGCGCTTTATGTGCTGCACCACTGGAAAACACACAAGCAGGAAGTGTTACTACAGAGTGACAGGATTGTATCTAAGGCCTATGTCACATAAAATTGACTTTGATGAACTTTCAGCCATGTTAGAATGGCGTTGCCTCCTCCAAAATATACCTAGAGTTGTGTTTTCTTTCATTCACAAATGCTTGAGTAATCCTGCATTTGGTCTACATCTCCAAAACTAAAAATTATTTATTCCATCTTGTGATGTCATGAAGCGACAGTTTATAATGAGTAAATACAGATGATAACACTTTAACTCATTTACACAAAAATCCAAGAGCAGATTTAAACCAAAAAATCTATTCTAAATCTACAATATTGTTAAAGATGCACTGTGTAACTTTTTGGTTGGGGTCCATCACCTGTTTGCACCTGTGGATATGTAATTTCTCTGTCTGGAATATTCCACAGTATGTCATTAAACAGCTCTACCTTACATTTATTCAATTACACGTGGTTTAATAGCTCAGAAATACCTCGAAAAACAGGCATTCTGACTGTGAATCGGGTCACCTTTCCACAGATATGAGCTGTAACTTGGTCTGATTTGGTCTCCATGAAGGTAGAAAGGTTTAATGCCATACTGTGATACATTCCAGACAAGGCAATAACATCTCTATGGAGAAAAGCATTTTGAAGGACCCACTACCAGAAAAGATACACAATGCACCTTCAAAAAACCATGAGCTGCTATAAATAAACAGCAGAATTAAGTTTTTAATTCAACCTTCTACAATTCAAATCTTATCACAAGGCCAAAAAATAACTTAAAATTCCCCAGCAGTGCAAAGAAAACATACACAAGATAAATATTGAACCCCAAAAACTATTGGTCCATTTATCATGTGATAAATTGATTGATTGATATAGTAATTATCGTGACAAGCTTAGCAGAGTACACCCTTGTTTAAATATATGGGCATGGATGTACTTGAACATTATAACTTTACCCACAACACAGGCTCTGGCTCACAATGCTGATGACTGATTACTTTACTTCACACTTGCACATAATCATAGTTGTTTAGTTTTTTGATTATACATTTTAAGACAGGAAAAAGCTGTTGTTATGTCTGCACTTACTAACTCAATTCATTCTGTTTCTTTTGTGGCAAACACGCAGTGTGATAAAAACGTAATCCTAAAGCTTAACAACAGAACAAAAGTTAGAATTCCGTTTGCAGTGTGAACTGGAGAGAGAAAAACTTTAAAGAATGTGATGGCGTGAAAAACAATATGGTAACCTACTGTGAATTATATAAATATTTTTTGTGAAGGCCTAGCAGGTGCCAGGTGGAAAAAGTAGTCAAAGTCTGCCTGCAGGTAAATCACAGTGGGAATAAAAGAGGCTATCGGAATAAAAGAACCTGATTAAAAATGAGTATACATAAAGGGGCCATATTACAATATTTTCCCCATCACAATTTTCACTGGAGTTGTGTGTTGTTTCATTCACACATGTTTAAAACCCCGTAATCCTTGTTAAATCCTGATTTAGACCTGCTTTTAGTCCTGATTTAGTCCTGGTTTACACCTGGGTTAGACTTGGTTTTAGTCCTGATTTTAGTCCTGGTTTAGTCCGGATTTAGTCCTGGTTTTAGTTATAGTTTTAGTCCAGATTTTAGTCCTGGTTTAATCCTGGTTTAAATGCATGGCCGGCATTGTGCATGGGAGGAGGCGCAGCCCACACAGTATACGTGAGAAGACACGGTCCATGTGGCACACACGAGAAGACACGTCCGCACAGCGTACACGAGAAGACACGGTTCACATAGGGTACACGAGAAGACACGTTCACACAGCGTACACGAGAAGACACGGTTCACATAGGGTACACGAGAAGACACGGTACACGCAGCATATACGAGAAGACATGGTCCACTCTGTGTACACGAGAAGACACGGCCCACATGGCGACCTCAGCCCTGGAATCTCTATAGAACTAAAGAAAACATGAAATGCTAACTTGAAAACTACCACTTTATGACATCACAAGGTGGAACAGAGCATTTTGAGCAACAAACATGGCTGCTTCTGAGGACCAAAGAAAAAAACTACAGAGAGGACCAAGAAACATCAGACTTCTGAAGCACAAATCATTGTACATCAGAGGTGAGAGAAGTTTGATTTAGTTTTTTATGATAAGGCACCAATGTGGTAGTTTGTTTCCCATATGTGTTATTGAAATCAACAAACCTGATAGCACCATTCACTCTGACCCAGCCCTGGTATCCACTGTATGATTTTGTTTGTCTGCGATGAAAGATTTCTGATTGTTGTTGCTCAAAAATGTAGGTCTCACAGTAAAAATGGGAAAAAGATTAAACTTTATATTACCAAAGACGAGCTGCAAGTGGCACAAAGTAAGCAGTGTCTGCTATTTAGGAATCTTGGTCGCTGAGTGAACCATCCTATTGCTCTACAATCAGCGTTTGTCAAACACGTGACCTACATACATATTTAATATTTAATAGCACTAGCTGTTTTACTATTTAAATTTCTCATGTTTTGTAGTGTGACATGCATAAATCTCTTAAAAAAACAGACAAACAAACAAAACATCAGGCTTGAGATGCAAAGGAATAGGTGGTGACCATGACAGTACATCATTAGTATAAAAAGGCTTGCCCTATCTAACAGGGCTAGGCGATATGGAGTAAAAATATATCTCGATATATTTTGCCATAGAGCCACATTGGCCCGTTTGAGATTATAATGAGTTTAATGGAACTTTGTGCACATTTGTTTACGTTTTACAGAAACAAAACTTAAAACCACATGGCTCATTTGCATAAACTATAAGCGCTGAAAAAACAACTGACTTCTTGTGCGTTGATGCAGTTAGCTTCTGTTGGACTAAAGGACACGACTCAGTGGAATATGAGTGTTCTTTCTGTGACAGAGGATGCGCTTCTGATGGTGAGTCTGTGAATGGTGCAAAAGGTTTGTGGTGTTAGAAGCTTTGGTTGGCACCAACTTTCGGCATTCACTGGCTGGCTGTGGGCACCGATGTGTTGAATGAGACAAGACGCAAGGGGAGGGGTCACAAACACAAGGAGGTGGCGAGCACAGCACAGATAAGGCAAAGCAGCAATGTTAGGATTAAATATATCAATATATACAATATGTCAGAATCCATTTTGTATTTAAAAATGATCAAGATATATTTTAAATATCAAGATATTGCCCACCCCACTATCTAACACTATTACAACTAAACATTTACCATAACAGAAATGGATCATATAAACTGTTTTGGCCAGTCAGTGTATTAAACAGTAGACAGTAGACTGCTTTATTTTGTTTATATGTGTAAAATAATATTTAAAAATCCTGGTAGAAGTTTGGAGTTGTTTTGGGAAAGTAACTACTCCTATCATATCTGTTACTTCAGTTTGCACATGCTCAGTACGACACCAGTGTTCAGAAATCAGGATACTGCATCTACATGCCACAGTATCCAGGATCCTATCAGAATATCTTAGGGAGCGTATCCTGGTTTCTCATGACCAGATGCTGGATTATCTGGGATACTGAAATCAGGATGCTGTGTTTACATGGACACTCACAAAGACAGGATAGCACACGTGAACGTTCTCAGTGAGATGTAGTGATAATGTTATTGCAAATATTTCTATATATTTAATTAGTCAAACTAGTCAAAACAGTGGATTAACAAAATCAAAACAAGTTGGACTAAATAATAATAATTAAAAAAAAAGGATATTGACAATTTGGTGATAATTAGTGTAGCTCTTTTACTACAATGCTGCCAGTTTTCTAGTTTAAACATTTTATGCAATTGTGCAGAGGTGTTCCATTTTGTTCTAAAACATGTTTGGGACTGTTTACAATAAATGTGAAGTATCAGATAGAAATGATTTAATAGTTTTATATTCTTCATGGATCTGGAACTGAAATCAAATAAACTGTTGTATAGGTTGAAAAAAAAAAGACAAAAAAGATCCTCCACTGGCTGTGGTGTGACTGCATCGCCCTACTTGAAATTCCGCTGCAGTCCCAGTGAATTACAAGCCCCTGTGTACCGAATGATGCACACGACATCTAACACTTTCCGTCTGATGTAATAGTGAATATTTGAATATTTCTCTTAATACAAAATGTGAGACAGGAACCCTGCCGTGATGAAAAAATCCTTTTACAGAGCGGCCGGTGTTGTCAGATGGTGCCGAGAATGTTTAATCTGACTTTAAAGAGAATACTGGGTTGCATTTGGGTTCAAGTGGTTTTGCACAAATAAGCACACAAGACGACACCAGACCTGCAGATATAAAGTCTTATCTGGCTTTTGGCTTTACACAGTGGGAAAACGGAAAAAACACAAGCAAAGGTATTTTTAACAAGAAGTGAGCAAAACTATTTCTGTTAAAGAGCTTTGGTTGCAGACGTGCTTAAAAGTTCGAGGAAGTTTCTCGGAGGAGAGTTTTGGCCTGGTAATTAGTGGCATCCTTTTGGAAGCCATTGCGAAAGATGATGGACCTGACTAACGGAAATGAAAAGTGAAAACATAACCCAAGGTTTTGTATAATTAGGAGTAGAAAAGAAAAATAAACATCCAATTACTGATTCTTAATTAATATGTTTTTTTGGCTAATTATAACTCACCTGGGTTAATCATAGTCACCCTATTTACTGTCAACTGATACTTTGCGGTGACATAACACCGTGGGTGTTCTACATGCATCTCTATCGGAGGAATAATTAACAGTTACCATGGAGACACAATGCACACATTAGCAAACGCAGACAAAACGTTTTAAGATCATCTGAAAATTTGAGAAAAATACTAAACACTGATTGAAACAGCACGTTTTAAGGAGTCTGTGATCAATACAAGTGTTCATGGTCCTGGTTAGGTGTTGGTTTTCAGCAAAAAGGTGACAGTTATTAACTGAAAAACTGCTGGCTAATGCTCTAGCTTGTGACTGTACCTTTATGTGCGAGAGACTTGTTTAACAGCA